GTTGATCAGAACTACTCACAGCCAACTTTAGGAAATAACTGGTGCATATTTTGCCTTGGCTGTAGGTTGCTTCTCTAACTACTACCCCCAGTAAGAGGGAAACATCATGTGATAGACAGGGTACACACCATCCTATCTTTCTGAGTCCTAAATGTGCATTCCAGTGGTAGCACAAGACTTTAGTTCCAGCACTCAGCAGACAGAGGCAGGTGGATCTTTGTGAGTTCGAGGCCAGTGTGATCTACAGGGTAAGTTCCAGGAGAGCCAGGGCTGACACACAAAAATACCCTGTCTTGAAAAACCAACCAACCAACCAAGCAAACAAAAAGAGGTGACGAAAGAGGAACCATCAATGAAGCAGAAGTGGTTAAAGTGCTGTCAGGTTCCTTAGGTTAGAACCACGTCATAGAAGTCAGAGGAGACTGGGCCACGAATTGAAATGCTTCAGAGATGGCAAAGGAGTTGAACATAGTTATCTTTATTTGAACTTTCCTTATTTGTGGCTCGTTATGACCAGCCTGACAGAAGAAATTCAGATTTGGGAGCTTGGCTGATCTAGGCATACAATGATGTACATTGGAGCCTGCATCCTGCTCTAGAATGGTTATCATGGCATCAGAAAAAGTCATGTTTTTAGCCGGGTGGTGGTGGCGCACGCCTTTAATCCCAGCACTTGGGAGGCAGAGGCAGGCAGATCTCTGTGAGTTCGAGACCAGCCTGGTCTACAAGAGCTAGTTCCAGGACAGGCTCCAAAACCACAGAGAAACCCTGTCTCGAAAAACAAACAAACGAACAAAAAAAGTCATGTTTTTATATATTGTTTTACAAGTCATGGGCTTAGCTGTACTAGTAGGAGTGATTTGGGGTATGGAGTAAAAGTTCAGTTCCCTTCCATACTACTTTAACATAGAGTATTGTTTGAGTTATGGCCCACCCTGCAATGTATTAGTTCCCGCAGTTCTGTAGAGGCCTGAGGAAGGTTCTTATTAGGTGTGTCTAAATACAGTGTTGTCCTAGTTGAAGAGTGAGTACTTTTACTATGCTTAAGCCATGATTTTAAGAAATTTTAATTATGTTTTAGTTTTAATTATGTCTATGTGTGTGGCAAGTTATGTATGTTGAGATCAGAGGGCAACTTTTGAGAGCTGATTCTTTTCCTTCCACCATGTGGGCCCTGAGATTGTTCTCAGGTTTGGCAGCAAGCACCTTTACCAGCTGAGCTATTTCACTGGTCCTTGAATCATCTCTTTGGCTCTGATACTCTTTTATTCTAATTTAGTGATTCTTGCAGTATGGGGTTTGAAGACCCTGTAGGGCACTCCTTCGGCCCTTTGAAAGACACTAGGAGTATATGGAGTTAAAACTTTTCATAAATAATTCTGTGATGTTATGCCCTTTTCATCTTGTCCTCATAAGGCTATATAGTGGAATTTCCCAGGGACTTCATGATATAAATTATTACAGTAGATTGAAAGCAGAAACAGGCTTGAAAATCCTACTGTCTGAGGCCATCATTAAAGAGATTTGCATTGAAAGTTACTACTTTTTGAAATATTAATATTTTACTTTAAAAGTCTAAAGACATAATGATCTTAATTACTATTAAACAAAGTATATATGAGTTCTGTTTGGGAGTATCAATTTTTAGGATGCATATTAGAACCAATATTCCATTTCAAGGGTTGGAAAGGAATTCTAGCCTTGTAATCCCTTGGGAAAAGGAAGTCCTTTACACTTCCTTCCTTATAAACTCCTTCCCTTTTCTGTTGTGTTGTTTCATCCTCATCTTTAGATGCCTAAAGCCCTCTTTCTTCTAAGCCACTTCTAATTCTATTCATTTGTCTTTCTCAGTATAACTATTTTTCTTCTACATCTGTTACTTACTGATTTCCTTTTTAAAAACCCTATATGTGGTCTTTTCGTCTTTGATATCTCTTTTCTTTTCCTGTCATTTTCAAACTCCCGCAAGGTGTTAGTAACTTGCTGGGACTCTAGGCCTACACCACTGCACCCAGCTTACATCTTATTTCTGACATTTACTTTTAAGTTTTGTTCTGAAATATGTTCATCCATTTAACAAATGTTGCTAACCACATATAATATGCCATTCCTTTGCTTGACATGGGGATACAGAAACTAGGTTAAAAAAAAAATCGTGTCCTTCCAGAATTTGTAGCCTACCTGGGACGATTACTTTGAATCAAGTAGGAACAATAAATAAGGTTATTTGTCCAGTTTTCTACTTTACCCCAACTGGGGTAATTTTGGGAAGATTGTGGGGAATCAGTGATAGATGTAACAACAGCAGCAGCTATAAAGCAAAAAACATTTATTGCATGGCTGCTTCATGTCAGATATTTTTCTGATATCTCATTTAGTTCTCATAGCAAGTCTGCAAGGTGTTCATCCTCATTCTGCAGACGTAAACACAGATACAGAGATAATTAGTAATCTGACATTATTTGTAACTAGAAAGAGCAGCAGGATTGCTATTTTTATTATTATTTATTTATGTGTATATGCCTGTATATGTACATGTACCTGAGATTAAAGGCATATCCGGGAACTGGAGTTACAAGTAGTTGTGAGTTGTCTGATGTGGGTGCTGAAAATCAAACTTGAATCCTCTGCAAGAACAATACATGTTCCTAACCACTGAGCCGTCTCTCCAGCCCCAAGAAGTGAATGTATTTTGGCCAGGAGGCAATACATAGAGAAATTCAGAGCAGATTGTAGAAACAGAGGATGTATAAAACTAGAAAGCTACTATGTCAGGGCATAGCAATCAACCAGGAGTGGCCACTTAGGAATTTTTTTCCAAGTGTTTGTCGGGAGCTATTCTTTCAGAGGACCTGACTTGGATTCTCAGCACCTGCATCAGGCAGCTGACAGCCATATGTAACTCCAGCTCCAGGAGGATCTAATGCCCTTAGCCTCCAAACACACCCACATGCATATGCACATACCACATACAGATATACACACAAAGTCATAGTTAAAAATAAGAAAATAAATCTTAAAGAATGGGGTTTGTTTTCTCTGTGATAGAATTGAAAGAAAATAATGTGTTTTTAGCATTGAGGGGGTAAGTGGACATGGGTCCCACCACTAACCAAGAAGTTGTTTGCAATTGATACCTGTTGGCAAAGTAAAGGTCAGGGTTTTTTTTCTAATGGAATATGGGTATATCAGCCATACTCCTGTAGCATGAATAATAAAAACCCAGAGAAAGATATAGTGGTTAAAGCTGAAATTCAGAGAAGCAGAGCAATAAGCCACTAGAGAGCCGTGGGTTTAAGATTATTATGGATGCTGCCATTAGTGGTATTGTTGTTAGTAGTGGCATGAGTATTATG